ATCTGTCACTCTTCTGTTTTGTTGCTGTATTTGCGCCTCGTTTTTGTGTCTTGTTAAGACACTCACTAGATCATCAAAAGTTTATTTCATGTGTGTTTTTGTATCTCATTGGATTCGTCGTATCCGTTACAGCAAAAGATGATTGACACGGAAGAACTGCACTTAACAGAAACAACATTTTCATAACGTTTTAATAACTATATCGAGCGATTTAAAAACATAATTGACAAATTTAAGTTCTGTTGGGGGCTCCGTTGCATAAAAAACAATTTATTGATAGGTTTCGTAGAACATTTCTGTTCTGGAACAACATTGTTTTTGTCATTTTCCTTAAATAATGATAATAAGCTGAGGCTAAGCACTTTGTACTATATTTTATATTTCCAATCTCTTCTTGAACGTAAAAAAAATTTACGGTGGTTGTGATTTCTGTTCTTCTAAAAGTTTGATGTTTTCATTGCATGGCTTACTCACAGGCAGCACTCCCTACCCTATGGGTACCCTAGTTATATGGCTGAACCGCATGAAACACCCGGGATACTGGTCCGGATGCAGAATAATGATTCAAACCACGGTCCGGATATATGGGTTTTTACGCATGCCTATATATAAAAGTTAACCGCTTTGCCGGAACGGGATGGGTTTTTTTACACCGCGTTTACGTAATTGTTTTATACACTTTTCTCACGAGAACTCCCGGAACGTTTATGAATATAATTTTATTAAATTGGGGAAATGGCGATGAGCAATTAAACACTGACGAGTGTCACAAAGATTGAAACAAAACAATATATATTTTTAGAAAAGTTTAAAAAAACCTCTAATAGACAATTTTTCTATTTAAAAACGTTCTATTAGTTCCGTTTATATTTAAAGTTTATTTAAAAATCTTCATATTGCAGTTACAAAACTGAATTGCATGAAAGATATTTACAATAAATTATAGTTAAAAATCTAAGTTTGTAAGATATTTTAAATACAAATAAAATCCAGATATATAATGATGGAAAAATAATTAGGTGGAATGTTTCGCTGCATAATACGTGATAAAGGAGTTCTTACAACGATCGGTACGAGCTCGTGATGTGTGGAATGTTCTCTTTCTTCGCAGACGACTTGTGGCGGTGCCAGTCCGAGGTGGAAGGAGGTTAGCTAGCTTGTGGTAGCTGTTAGCAACAATCTCTTGAAAAAGTTTTTGGGAACAAGATTCTACGTTCAAACAGTTTTGGAGGTTTGCTTTAGCCATACATTCCTTGTAGGGGATTTTTGGGAAAATAATCTGCAGTGCCCTTCTTTGGATTCTTTCGATCTCATCAGATAGATACTTGGGGAGGCTGCTATGGTATAATTCGCACGCGTATTCAAGAACAGACCTAATACACGAACAGTAAAAATGTATTAGGTCTGCAGTTTCAACTTTTGCTCGTTTCAGTTGGCGGAGAAGATTAGACGTTTAGAAGCTTTCGTTGTAATCTGGTCAATGTGATCGTTCCATTTTAAATCGTTTCTGATTGTGACTCCCAGCACTTTAGCAGATGCAACCAGATCGAACCGTCGATCATTCACATCAATTGGAACATAAGTTGGACATTCCTTCTTGAATGAGATGACTAGTTCCTTACATTTGATCGGGTTTAGTTGGAAGGAATTTTCGCAGGACCAATCAGATATCTGTTTGATAATACTCGATAGGTTGCTTTCTTCATGTTGTGGAACAACTTCGGATACTGTAGTATCATCGGCGAACTTCCATATACCAGTTGATGGATCGTCAGGCAAGTCAAGGTCATTAATCATTGCCAAAAACAACCAAGGGCCTAACCGGGTGCCTTGCGGTACTCCAGCAGGTACGTTTAGCCAATTAGAGAAGGAGTTATGGTCTAACTTTACTCTTTGGGATCTATCTCTTAGAAAGTCAATTATCCAATTTAAAACAGTGGGTTTGACTCCAAGACTTAACAACTTTGCAATCAGAAGATTATGGTCCACCAGATCGAAAGCCTTACGATAATCAAGTAAAGAAACTCTTACTGTGGAGCTTGTTCCGTCTGTAGCATGTAGCCAATGATGAAGCAGGATATAAGGGCAATTGTAGTCGATGAGCCGGGAAGAAAACCAAACTGGTGGGGCAATCGATTTTAATAGAGTTGGTTTCAGTTCTCTTTCGATGACTATACTCTCTGCGATCTTGGATAAGGTTGACGTAAGGGAGATGGGCCTTAAATCCTTGTTAAAGTCACATATGGTAGGCGCCTTTGGAACAGGTGGAACATTTGCAAGTTTCCACACCGGAGGAACTTTACATTCTCGAAATGAGGTGTTAATGATGTCAGTAACTGCCGGAGCGAAAGTAGGTCAGAGAACTCTTTCAGGACCCAGTTAGGCAAATCATCAGGGCCACCAGCACGAAATGTGCTAATCTCTTTAAGCTTCTTCACAACAGATGTTTCAGTAACAGATATCGGTTCGTCGTTTTCGTTATCTACGCAAGTGTCCTCCGATAAAGGAGAGTAATTTTCCATTACACTAACGAATGCTTCGTTAATCTTGTTGACAATTCTTTGTCCTCGAGCTTTAAATCCGCGTGTAAGATAGATCTCAGGTCATGTCCACTAGCTTTGGCTGGATGGCAGAGCTGTTTTATCTCCTTCCACCAATCGCGAGGTTTCGATTTTCGTAGGCCATGAACTTTATTACGGTAGTACGCAGCACGGCAACATTTTCTTTGGCGGTTTACTTTATTCCTCAGTAGTTTAAATAGAGATTTCTTACCCGATGCAAGGGCTTGTTGTCTACGTGATATCAAGGACTTTAGCTGACTATTCATCCATGGACGGTCATTTTATGTGGACTTTTATACACCTTTTGGGCATGATGGTATCTAAGCCATAGTTCACAATCTGCGTTAGCAAATTTAGCTTCTCTTCAGAGGACTGAACCGAGGAAATTAAATTGGACCAAGGGACTTCCATGAAAAAGCGCCCAACACTTGCTACTTTACTAGGTCTTTTATCTCTTAGTTTGATACTTTTTATATGGGGCTTTACTTGTTTCGTGCGGGACTTGGGAAACAACGTGACTGTGCAATGATCCGAAAGGCCAAATGGCGGAGCGGAGGTGGCATGCGAATAAAATTCCTTCAGGTTGGTAAAAATTTGATCAAGGGTGTTAGGACCTCGAGTTGGAAAATCCACATGGGTTTTCAGCTGAATTTTCTCGCGGATGATTTAAAATCAAACCTGTTAAAATCACCCGCAAGAATCACAGCACTATTGGGATATGTTGATTCCACTTTTTCCAGTGAGGATTGGAGATAGTTATGCATAGATTTTTCATCGGCATCGGGAGGATGGTAAATAATTGCTGTGATAATATTTGAGAAACCGCGTGGAAGGCGTTTAGGTCGTAACAGTGTCCACAGGACTTCATGATCTTCACTTTGTAAATCTGGAAGTGGGTGGCAAACAATGCCATTCTTTACATACAAACACAGTCCACCACATTTTTTGTGTTTGCGGTCACGTCTCATTACTCGATAGCCCGAAATATTAATAGCTTCATCTGGGATTGAATCTTTAAGCCATGTTTCGGTAAAAAGTGCGATGTCTACGTCTTTCAATTTCATGAAGTAAGCAATCTCGTCGATCTTTGGGGCAAGAGACATCGTGTTTGAGAGCAACATCGAGGGAACGTAGTAAAATGCCACGGATGAAGTCTGACTTTGTTCTCCGGTTTCAGTTGATGGATTAATTCTTTTAGTTTGCTCAAATGTGTCCGCTTGAATATTTAATAAGTTCTCATAGTTGGCAAAACACTGATTCCTTCCGACTTTGATTCTTATAAATTGGTTCGATTTAATAACCTGGATACTCTTAATAGATTCCCTTGCACATCCACCACGATTTCCTCTGAATGGTTTCAATAAGCCAATCCGTTTGAGATCATTCCACACAACAGACGACAATCTATTTAGCGGCTTGTTCAATAACAACTCGCCTTGACAGCGAGTTTGTAGTTTCCATAATTTTCCAATGTTGAATAGCGAGTTCCTTGTGTAATACAGCATTATATGGGATCCTTGCAATATATAAGTGGATTTAGCAACTTATCATTTATAAAAACAACGCAAAAGCGGTAAAAACTTGGAAAATATGTGGAGCTATTAAGATGGCAGCCGTACAATGGCGCTCACAATATAATGCCGTCGTTTCAGACGTCGATGTGCTTTATCTCATTACCATTAGGTTCGGTATATGTAAATCCGACGTTTAAAACGTATCTTAAGTGGGCCTTTCCGTCTATAAAAATCATTTTGGATAACATTAAACTTTAGCCCTAAAAGAGTTGTATGAATTGAATGTGCAGTCACCATAGTTACGAACACCATGCAGAGACCCGCGATAATGGAAAATGGACGATTTTTGTAAACACGATAAATAACCACGTTTACTAGAACTGTAACGGTGAAACTGGTTTTCATTAGTATTAAATATTTTTGCCCCGAGCTGAACCTAGAACAAATGAAATTTTGCAGAAAATTTTATCAAGGGGGAATGAGAATATTAGTTTGCTAAGAAAAGCGATCAAAAAAGTTTTGCATATGTTTATAGACTATATGAAGAGCAATACAACAGAACAATGAAAATGCCCCTAATAATAAATTTTTTTCTTTATTTTCACGTTCTTTACTTATTTTTTCTCAAAAAAATATAGGCAGGATCGATTAGGGAGACATTTTTTTAAAATTGCATCCATTGAAATTTTTAAAACAGGATGAATCGTGATTTTAGTGTGGTAGACCACCTTAAACTTTTCTATCAATAAAACATCGCATCCAAAGTATTTATACTAAAATATAGGAAATCGAATGTTCTTCTATTTTATTCATTATCATATATTCATCGTATTAATTGTGATTATAAAGATTATCATCAACCTTAACGACTGCAATTTTAGACAATTAACAAAAGTTTTGATTATATATCAAAAACATGGCTTAATCTATATTCAACAATGTAAATCGTAATAATCCTCTTTAGAATATGCGTTTTATTTCGACATAACCATCTCCCTTTTCATTCACGTCTTCTACGTTTGCTTGCTTCTTTCCAGCGTTGTAAGAACCACCTCCTCCACCACAAGATTGAAGATTATTATTTCCTGATGCTCCACCAGAATATCCTCCACCTCCTCCTGCACCTCCTCCGGATCCATACGCTCCCCCACCTCCTCCAAATCCACCGACAGCATTATAATAGTGAGCACGTCCTCCTGCACCCCCCTGAAGAAAACCTCTCCCTCCTTCCCCGCCGTAACCGTAGGAACCGCCAAACTGAGAACTACTGCGTCCATTACTGTAGAATCCACCACCACCACCACCTTTAAATATAAATTTGATATTAAATGAGTTATATATAAATGGAGGTTTCGGAAAGCAAAAGCTCAATAAAAGCATGCTTGTTTTGGCTATATCCGCAATTCAAGTTTCCCGCCGGAAAATAGAAGCAAATCTCTGACTTATTTAGCAACGGTTATAGGACATTCTTTGAGAATTTGATGAGCATGTAAAGAGGGGTCACAATTGCTTTTGTGAATACTGCTCATAACCTGGGCCGTAGGTAGACTGCTTGATTTTTTTTGGAGGGGTATATTAATATATGAATGTTTGGCAGCTTGTTTTGAATAAATGTGTAAGATATATTTTTATATAGATAAGATATATTTTTTGACGATATTTAGAGGCGTGATAACATGATAGGTAAGGTCAGAAAAGGTTTTCGCAACTCCATTCACCCCTTGAAAAAATCGTAACCATGCATACATATTTTTAAAACTAACAGCGTGGTTCACCCTTCTATATTGTGGATACCTGGATTTTTAATCCCTTGATAAATACAAAATGAAATATAATTGTTGCAGCATTATAAGTGAATCCCTGTGATGCGAGTATGGATTTATTAGTGTTGAAAACGTCTGTTTATTTAAGGCTTAAAAGAAAAACAAATAAAAAAGACTTTTGTGTTGTGTGGGCGTTTTCACAATACTCTCTGGCTGTTTTATTCATAAACATTTTTATATTTAGTTCCCTTTTGTCTTGTTACGTTTTATTACCTTTAGAAAAATCTAAAGACCTGACCTGAGTAACCGCTGTCTGCTTGTAATGCGCCACTCCCATTCTTCCCCCCAGACCAAATAGCGCAGAACGCTTTACACTGATTTCTTCTTCCAGATGTTCCATTACTTGCATCGCAGTTTGCCAGTCTATTACTCAGCCTTTCAACGCCACCCCCGCCTCCAGCAACAATAAGCGGTGTGTTTAACGATGTCGCTACAAATGATCCGCCACCTCCCCCTGACGACTGACTAGCAGAATTCACTGGAGCTGTCTGTCCAACCAATATTTTTAATACATCTCCTTTCTGAAAGTTAAATTCACCCCTCATATAAGCCCCACGACCTCGAGCAATTGAGCCGTATTTATCATATCCTCCAGCTGCACCAACTGCAGTGATCTCGTATGTTCCAGTGTAGGGAACTGTCCAGAACTGTATCCCATTCCTGAGAATCACCATGTTGTCATTACCTTTCCCCACATAGTAGGAGCCCAGGGATGAAGGACCAAGACGACCAGTTGCTCCAAGACTTGTAAAGTTGGCGTGGAACATTTTTATTGCTAGAAATTAATAGATAACTAAGATGTATAAAATATGCACCATTAATTGATGGGGAAAACATATCAAGCACAACTTTTGTTTAACAACTGTGTACAAAAAAACTGAAATATCTGTGCTTGTAATTAAACAAAATTTTCAAAAATTCTTGCACCTTTCTGGTTAATATTCAAAAATTCTTGCACCTTTTGCGAATGGTTCTTCTCTTGTTACTAGCCCTTTTGCTGATTTAACTATCAAGGATTTTTAGAAAACGTTTTGATTGCAAAAACGTCGTGTTTTATTCGGTCACTAGTCTTTGGCTCTTGTTTCTTGACTCTTAGTTATGTTTGTCCCCGATCCGGCGCGAAGCACCGTGCGAGGGTACTAATCCCGCCTGGAAATTAGGAATTACACCCGGGTATTTTGACAGAACATAGTCATAGGCGAAACCAAAGTTGCCCAAATGTCATGGACGTTCAATAGTCATGGTAGTTGTGCGCATGCGCGAAATATGAACGAAGAAAGAACGGTCGTCTACAACTTGCTGATTGGCTAAGACAAAAAGAGAGTATGCATGATAGCGTCAGCATTTTAACCGTCATTTTGCAAAGTATTTCAGTTTTAAGGAGGAGTCATATGGAGTCAAATATTAAAACAATAATAAAAGATTTAAAGATCATCACAGCGCAGAAAAAGTTGGTGAAATAGGAACGACTTGTAGTTTATAATCTTTGAAGTGGTAGGTGTCTATATTTTGCTTATTCAGGGTTTGCTGTAAGAATGCATTGTTATTTTGACAAGTACGAGCTTGGTATGTCGTTTTACAAGGAGCTAACCGACCGTTTAAGGCTTTACGTCATCGCTTAAACTTTAAAAAGAGTTCTCAAAGGTGTACTTCAGAGTTTTGATAAAACAAATATCACTTTGCAGCTTATATAGTCGCTAAAATCATTGAATAAAATAAATAATTGAAAAAAAACATTCGACGTTTAGTGCTTGTATATGGTTATTATAATTATTTGTGCTGTTTTGATGTTTTGAAGGTTTAGGTATAGAAAAGTTTAACACTCACTTAAACTGCAACGTAATGCAGCAGGCAAACAGGTGATTTCTGTTCACCTTTACGACTGTCTTTGTTTCCGAAAAATTTGCACAAGTTATTTCATAATATTAGCGTAGAAAGTTAGGTCTGGGTAGCGCACGAATTCTTTTGCTTCGTTTAAAATGGCGAGGGGTTGCTGCATGCATGTATTTCTAGTACAAAAATATTACCGTGTTATGTACCATGCACAGATATTTTTTTTTCCTATTAGCGTGGATCACTTGATATAACCATAGTGGAATGCTTGTAACCGTTTTTTAACAAATACAAAATTTAAATATTGCAACAATATTTGCACAATTTATCAAATTAGATATTGGCGAAATTATTTTACGCGTATTGCTCTTTGATTGTAGGGTAGACGCTTGTGGCTTGTAAGGTAGTAAGTCTTTCTCACGCGAATAACGATAAAAATAACTATAACGAAACAACAGTCATTTTCTTAAAATAGTTAGCGGAAGTTTGGAATTCTAAACAAGCTAATCAGAGTTTTTGTAGTTAGAGCGAAATGTTGTTCTATGTTTTCTTTAACTTGTCTATCGTTTAAAAATTTAAGCGTAAAATTGTTCGACATTTTAAAAATTCCGCGCGAAGCGTCATTGTAAACTTTTCCGCGCGGGATTGTCTCATCCTGCACGCCCACTAACTAATCAAATTGCGTGTTTCATTGCAGCTATTATATAATAAAATTTGACGATATTTAGAGGCGTGATAACATGATAGGTAAGGTCAGAAAAGGTTTTCGCAACTCCATTCACCCCTTGAAAAAATCGTAACCATGCATACATATTTTTAAAACTAACAGCGTGGTTCACCCTTCTATATTGTGGATACCTGGATTTTTAATCCCTTGATAAATACAAAATGAAATATAATTGTTGCAGCATTATTTCCATAATTTATCGAATAAAAATTTCTCAAAATACTGCTGTTATATCAGATAAGTAGGGCAAAAATCTTCTACTGCACTAATGTCGTGACTCGCAGTGCGCTAAGCAATATCATGATTACCTGAACACATTTTTCCATTTCCAAAATATCCACGCTTACATCGGCATTCATACGAGCTAACAGTGTTGACACACGTAGCATTCACGCTGCAATTGTATTTCCCAAGAGAGCACTCGTCTATATCTGAAAGATGCTAATCGTGTTATTTATTTTGAACATCTACATTAACATAAATCAATTAACATAAATGACCTAAATTGAGATGGAGAATGTAAATCTGGGGAACCTCTGCTAGAACACATCTTGTACATTTGACATCTTGTACATAAATTATATTGAATTCATTCATATCGGCGGAGCGCGATTTGTTATGAGTGAATATCATTGCTTTTTCGATGAACATGGTTACCTTCACCGAAGGTAGAGAGTCATCACGGGGTGAGGGGGGCAGAAAAGGACTTGGGGGCTTTGAGCATCGGTTACATATTTGAAAAGCTTTGAGTTAATAATAAAGTAGCAACAATCCTGGTCAAAACTTTGACGCCACTCACGGTGTTGTTTCACATTACAGTTAGCAGTTGCGGGATTTATTTCAAAATTCTCCCCCTTTCCCACACAAATCAATGTTAAGCGATGTGTCATCACTAATTCAAAAATTTAGCATAGATTCGACATTGATTAGGGGGGTGAGGGGGATTGACACAGAAATCGACACACAAAAAAGAGTACAAGTCGATGATTTTCCTTTTCCTGGATTTTGCTTCCGTTTCCAGTCAACTTTCTACTACAGCTGGACACCAACCGAAATTTTCATCCCAGAAATATGGGATCTCAAAAATATCCCTGCAAAATTATTTTTTCCTAGTTTACCGGTTAGATCATTGTTGTACCTGAACACGCTTTTCCATTTCCAGAATATCCACGCATACATCTGCATTCATGAGAACCAAGGGTGTTGATACACGTGGCATTCACGTGACATTTGGCTGTCCCAAGCGAGCATTCGTCAATATCTGCAAAACTTAATCGTTTTACTTTGATGTTGTGTAAGGGTTAGAGCATTAGGGTTAGAGTCCTAAGAAAAAACGTTCACGACCGCCTGCGTGATCTTTTATCCTATTCGATCCACTCTTTATCCCTTAGGGCACACGTGATCATTCCCCAACCGTCATAAAATACAATAAAGAGTAACTTCAAAATAAATAACGTTTTATTAAATCTACGTTTCAACTAACTTGTAATCGTCGTCAGATAGGAGCTTTATATCGCCATTGAAATATGATCAGTGCTTTGGAAGCCTTATTAAGATCTTGTTTTCGTCGGCGTATTTTAAGGCACTCTTTATAGAGTGATGTCCAGTGATCATATGAGGTATAGTGCATGGAAATACTAGAAGCTGATTGGACAAGTGAAGCTAGGTATCCTATAAGCGCCTGTCAGTTATGAAGCAAACATTGTGGTCGCTCTGAGATTAGTTTCTGTTTTTGCGGTAATTTTAACCATATCAATTGAAATGTTAAGGTTGTAGGATACATGCAGCTATAAAAATATGGGGGAGGGGAGGAGGGGTTAAGGTTATTTTCAGTATCAGGGACTTCAATTTCCTACAACTGGCAAATCATTTGTAATAAAATCTCTACAATTCTTACCTTTTGTTACCTAAAGTAAAAGAATAGAAGACGTTAAAAATTAAAATAATTGAAGACGGGTTGAAAAAATGGCAAGTTGTAAATTTACGACATTATAATTTATTGCAAATTAATAACTTTTATTAACAGTACACGAGGTCTTTACCGAGGAAAATCGGACCGAAGTCTTTTTGTACAGATCGAGCTCGATGAGCGAGGTTTGTACAAAAAGATCGAGGTCCGACGGCGGTAAAGACCGAGCAAGCGAGGTTAGTAAGAAGTTTATTATGTGGCCTAAGACATGTATTTGCACTTGAAACAAACAAGAAATGCAGGAATTCGTATTAATAGCCTGGTACGCATTTGATAAAAACAAAATATTATGACGTCTGGAGACGACTTATTAATTTCAAAATCAATTAAATTTTCCCTTGAGCATTTATTTGTGCCTTTTTCATTTTCCCACTAAATATTTATTTAATAGCTATATTCAATCGCATAAGACCTAGTAAAATTACTTGGGCCTTAGCTATCTCGGCTTCAAAGGAAGGGGGGGTGGGGATATCTGTGAACAAAAAAATTCTTAAAAGCAAAAACGCCTATCAATGCATTCACATTTTATATGAAAATAACGTTTTCGAATATTTACTCGATATTTTTTTTAAATAACTATTGGTCACTAGTACTTCGCAGTTCGCATATACTTCACCTTAACATCCTCGTAGTAAACCCATGGTCCATATTTAGTCGTTGTTTTATTCCACTTCTTTGTGCTGTTGCTAAGTTGACAGTTTACAAAATAAACACTGCTTGGTCTCACTCTGTAGTTATAACCATAACAATTTTCTTTCGCAATGCACAGTAAATGACACTCTCCCAAGCGGTGGATATTGTGACTTGAAATCAACTCAGATGAACGCAAGGCTTCATTTCCTGCATTGATTTATAATTAACGAGAACTCTAATTGTAACGCTGTAACGGCTAATTTCATCACGTCAAAATTGACTGCATGGGACATGTGTAGCCAACATGATATTTCTTAACGTGACCTATATTCATTAATTGAGCTATTTAGGCTATTACGGCGCATCGTTCACGACTTCATGCATGAAGAACATGTCTTTCGCAGATTAAACAGCGTAATGCAAAATTAATGAAGTACGGCTGATACAGGGTGTCAAAAAAATGTCCCAAATGTAAAATTTTCGTTTTTCAGGATATTTTGTAGAATTTGGCAAATTTTTGTGTTCCTGGAGATAGTTAAGACATATCTGATATACCTAGGCCATGTTTGGTTTTCATTAACAAAATTATGTTGCCGGGGGGGGTGGTTCCTTTCCACTGATATTGAGAGGGCTTGCGCGCGAAAATGTAAAGCTGAAATTGAGATATTATTTAGCTGTCTAAAAGTAGGAAAGCTTTTTAATAAACTGTCAAAGTTTAAGGAAAAATAATGCATACTGGGAGCAACGCGCGAGCCCTAAAGGTGAGAAATATTTCATTGCGCGCAGTGGATTAAATGCATCGTTGATTTTAGCGTGACCGATCTCATGCAAGGTGGGCAAATGAATAAATTAAAGCGAGAAACTGAACACAAAAACAAAGAGATTTGTTCGTGATGTTAATCCTCAGCATGTCCACCATTTCATTCAAAGCAAACTGCGGCTCGTCTGAGCATAGTAAACACTGAACAGCGAAGCATTTGTCTGTCCATTCGCCTAGATTTTCCGTTGGTAGCGTAGGCGATTTGCAAGAAAGAATTTCGAACGAAATGGAGAATTTTAGGCAGGACAGACAAAAGGTTCACCGTTCAGTGTTTACCATGCTCAGTCGAGCCGCAGTTTGCTTAGAAAGAAACGGTGGAAATGTTGAGGATTAACATCACGAATAAAAATCTTGTTATTAAATCGCTTCGTCTTCTTGTTCAGTTTCTCGCTTTAATTTATTCATTTGCCTAGCCTTGCATGAGATCAGTCACGCTAAAATCAACGATGCATTTAATCCACTACTCGCAATGAAATATTTGTCACTTTTAGGGGTCGCGCGTTGCTCCCAGTTTGCATTATTTTTCCTTAAAATTTGACAGTTTATTAAAAAGCTTTCCTACTTTTAGACAGCTAAATAATATCTCAATTTCAGCTTTACATTTTCGCGCGCAAGCCCTCTTAATATCAGTGGAAAGGAACCACCCCCCCCCGGTAACATAATTTTGTTAATGAAACCAAACATGGCCTAGGTATATCAGATAAGTCTGAACTATCTCTATAGGAACACAAAAATTTGCCAAATTCTACAAAATATTCTGAAAAACGAAAATTTTACATTTGAGGACATTTTTTTGATACACCCTGTATACTCGTGTAGAAAAAGGCCAAGATATAATTTAAAATCAAATACGAATTTTTTTGTCACTGTTAATTCCCTAGCTTCATTACTGAATATAATGATGCATTTAGCACATTTACATTAAATTTTTGTTTCAACAATTTTTCCTCCGGCAAAACATTCTGTTATTAGCCGTGATAACCCAAATAACTATCAGTATCCGAAACAAGTGAATTGGAGCTCATTTAATTTTTACAACTATCAGCTTGCAAAAGAAGTTCGGGTTAAATCGATGAAAAAAATACCATCAATAACAGGGATTCAAACAATCACAAAAGTGTAAATTACGCCGACTTACCAACACCGACGTTTTTGAAATGTCTTAAAGCACAAGGTTGAGCTTTTAGTAATGACAAAGTCATCGATAAAATGGCAACAAAAGTTAGCATCTCGAAGAAGGCTCGATAATATGGATAATCTGCTGGTGTCCGTCCAGTGGCTTTACACTTTACTGCGCTCTCAGGATACAATGATATAATTATACTATTCATATACGACATGCCATATGAAATGTGTGGACTGAATGACTTGTTTTTTTCTGTTTCTGTAATTTATATTCTCTTCATAGTGACAGTTTCTAACAACAAAATTATCATAATTGACTTTTTAGAGACATTTGTGCGTACAAGCCACCTGTGACCAGTGAACTTCCTGTCGTTTTTATTGAACATTAAACTTTATTTGCATGGGACACCGCAGCTGTCTGAGCAGTATTAAAATAAGCAAATTCTATTATATATTCTATTATATATATACAGGGTGTATAAAAAAAATTCGAATCGAAATTTTGCGTGTAATAATGCAAAATATATTTGACAAATTTGGTTGATTTTTACACCATTGTTAAGTTAATTTATTTTTCTTTCAAATGACACGTTGTACGTGTAATTTAGTTGAAAAATGAAGAATTACTAATTCGACAAAAAAGTTCATAAAAATCACAATTCTTTACCGATGGGAACTGGACGTTTATTTTATTAAAAATTAGTCCTAAAGGGCTTTAAAATCTAATCATTACTGAATACTAAAACGCAAATTTATCGCAAAAATTCTGCTTATTCAATGTTCAACGATAGAAGTTTGAAGAACACAATGGCTTCATTAATTAAATTTGCATTTTTTTTGTCTGGAGGACTCATTTCGAATTCCCATCGCACGAAAAATTTGATTTCGAGCAACAATTTTTAAAAGACGATAACTCGGCCAGTTTTGGTCGGGTCGATATAAGAACGGTATAATCGTAAACTAAAAAAGCTAATCTTTGTTTTCATATAAAAATTATAATATATATATAATAACTACATAATAACTACATAAAATAGAATTTACAATTCTCGCCCTTCATACTTTTAGTTGGAAGAACGGGAAGAAATAAATTCAGCAGCATGATAACTCAGTTCTGTCACAGCCCCTCATGACGTCATGATCGCAGATCAGCTGGCTGTAAAATCCTGCATATAATATATTCAGAATCTCTTGCACGCTCTTTCAATTTTCCTTAATCTCCAGCCGGTAAAAGTTTGACATTTTTTAATTTATTATCCATGTATTTTAGCTTAAAAACTTTACCCAACGCATTCTTGAAACATTACTAAAAAAACTGAAGCGTGACTATTAAAACGTTTTAA